GTGACTATTATAAGTGGTATTTTGAATTTCATTTGTAATTGTATTTTGGTATGACATAGAAATTTCATTGTTTCTTTCCTATCCAATGGCCCTTCCTAAATTTTAAGCTATTTTTACTTTTGTTTTGGAATTGGAAATTCCTGGGTTTGCTCATGGATGGGGCTATTGGGGTGCTGGGGGAAAGTGAGCAATCCTGGGTGTGAAGGGTTCTGACTTGCGTGACAAACTGCAACTTCCTTGAGATGGGAGGGACTCGCTGGTGTGGCATGGCACACATGGGCCTCCCAGTCACTTCCGCTGCTGGGTAGCTCCCCCCCACTCCCGATGTCCCACCATTCAGTGTAATAGTAAGACATTGGTCACACTCCTAGAAAGGTTAACTTCTCTGGAAGCAAGTGAAGTGTGTGTGTGGAAGAGCACTCACCTCGGCGCCCCGCCCGCCGCTGTTGACTTCTGCCCGTATCTCTGGACTGAAATCGTGGGTGCGGCATGTGCAAGTCCTTAAGGCCCCTTTCCGAGATGGTGCCCGTGGCTGTGAATTTCAGCCAACCCTCGGGTTTCTCACCGTTTGCCCTGAGGGTTTTATATGACAGCCCTACCACGGGCCAGGTTTTTCTAACGCATAGGCTCTTACCTGCCTCAATTCACAGCCAGAAAGAGCTATTTGTGCCTTTTTCCCTTTTGACTTGCATGTCGGTGGACTTAGTCAGGAAGCCCTCAGACTGTCTGCTGATGTGTGGCTTCTGGTTGCAAAACCAGCCCCTGGGCTGCCCTCTCTAGCAAAGTATAAAAACACGTAAGGCACTGGGAAGCCTTAATTTTGATATATAAAACATGTTTTTAAATACACAAGGCTCTTTTACTCTGTCCTGGAAAGCGTTTCCCTTTCAGCCCATCCTGAATCTGCTTGGCTCCTCAAAGACTCCATAAAGCGTTTACCGTGTGCAGGCGAATGACAGAGGCAGCAACCACGTCCCCGAGAGCTGCGCACGTCTCCAGCCTCATGGAGACCCTGTTTCCACTTAGAGGGATGCAGAGGAACCCACAGCTTCAGCGCTTCCCGGGAAGGCACTAAAGCCCTGCCTGGGAATTAAGTACACGCATCAATCAAGCTTATCAGTCTCGGCCCCAGTTAATATATAATAAAATATTCACAGAGCTAAATCAAATGAGTTTTTCGTTTCGCCATATAAGTGGAAAGCAATCTTGAGGTCTGCTGCAGCAGGAATCCCAGTTCCGTGGTAGAGCAGCAAATAAGTGGGGGTGGGGGCGGGTGACTTGATGGGGAGAGATAAATCACTCGTGGGCGTCTCATTGCGACCAGCTGGGGCCCATCAAGGCCAACAGTGGCTGCACCGGGCTTCCTAGCCATTGCATTTCAAGATCTGCTTTCAGAAATAAATTTGAATTCCTATTAGTGAATAAATGTGAAGGCCCTGCCCTGTGCTGTGAGCAATTTGTAGTAACTAACAGTATGGCCCTGTAATCGTCCAGTATTGGTTCTTAGTTAATAAAATATTTAATCATAAATGTCTGAATTCAGCATCTCCCACAGGAAGGCATTTCCATGCCCACTGACAAGAATAATTTAGCAGTTTCATAGTAGAGCGCTTAATTACTCATAATTGTGAAGGGGAAGATGTGATGGATTCCTCCTCGATGGACATACTAAGTATTTTAACTAAGTAGATGACTTAAAGTAAATTTAAGCTGTGAGATCATTTATTACATTGGTTAAAAGCAATTTAAGAAACATGTGATGTCCTACACTCTATTATATGGGGCTGTGTGCATGACATTCTGCTGGGTGACTAAACACTGCCTTTGGGGATAGACAGCAGGGTTTAGGGGATGGAGTAGGAAGATAAATTTTGAGATGCTCATGGATTTTTTTTGTTTTGTTTTTAATTTGTTCTTGCACGGCAGTGGATCTTTTTATGTGATCTTCCTAGCCATTTTGTAACTCATCAAATGAATGGGTGGGGCTAAGCATGTAAGGCTCTTGTAGCCTACCATGGGAATTGGACAGGTTATTAATAGTGCTGGCATGGCATATGAACCCTAATAGGCGATTGCTTAGTTTTGCTGCTCACTGGCTTGTGAAAGGAAAACTAATCCAGGAGCGGAGAGTAGATCTCATCACAACTAAGATGAAAAGAAAGGAGCAGAACATCTTCTTTGGACCCAGGGTCCCTGTGCTGAGAACCTCCTCCACCCAAAAGACAGAAAGTTGCAACCGCAGAGATGGAACAAGACACCACGAAGGGTCAGCAGGGAAATAGCAGCAGTCCAGCCAGGAGACAGTACATTGGGCTTCGTGGGCCAAGGGACAAGGCGTGATGGTGCACATGCCTGCCCACAGAACAAGAAAGCTGAACATTTCAGCCAGGAGGGTTTCTGATGGGCTGATGTGCCCCTGGGCACTTGTTGACAGAGCTAAAGAGCTTTGTAAAACTTGCTCAAGCAAAAGCTACTATATGCAAACATTCCTGAGGTGAGGACCAGGTAGAATGGCAGGGGCCAGACCAAATCCAGGGATACATATGGTAGCCAACTAAAAAGGAGGGAGGGAAAGGAAAAAAAAAAAAAAAAAAGAAATGGGTAGCAGGGGCACAGGGCACTAACCTACCCAAGGGGAGGGTATTGTTTATATCTCCACAGGGAAAGAGGGACCAAATTTCAACCCAGTGCTCCAAGATGTGAATTCAACATGCCGGCATGGAGTAGGGAACCAGTGGAGAGGTCTGAGGGGCTGGCTCCAATCCCAACTACATGGACACCTGCCCCTCCCCCAGAAGAACTTACTTCAGAGGACAGCACTGAATCTGCAGCCCTGGGAGAGGGACATATTTGATCAGAGCGCACAGGAGCAAATGAAGGGGGAGGAAGAGAGAGTGGAGCACATCCTGGCCCACCAAGCCTTGAGGACATTATTGCCACTAGCCCTACAGGGGACAACACTGGAGACACAGTGTGGAAATTGTGCCTGATCTGATCGCACCACACTGAGGCAAAACACTAAGGGCGTGCAACAGAACAGCAAGAGGAACAGAACAACTAAGTCCCCAGGGAATAGCAAAAACAGATTTGGGGGCCAGGGCTTGGCACCCCGTCAGACTCGACCAGAAAACACTCCTAAAGGCCAACAAACAGTCTTTGAACTAACAAAAAAAAAAAAAAAAAACTTGCTCAAGCATGGCAGAGGCTGGACCAAGGCTCTAAGAGGTTGGGGGTCAGACAGGAGCCTGCTTATGGGCATGACTGATAGGCTTTCCTGGTCAAATGCCTGTATCTTAAGTCATTCCTGATCCTCAACTTTAACCTGTTAATTTTCCAATAAACTCCATGTCTTAGTGCTGTTTGCTGTAACAGAAATGCCCAGGTGGGTGGGTTTGATAATAGAAATGTATCCTTGCACAGTTTATAAGGAAGATCCTTGCCCTCATTCAGCATCTGTGGGCCTGACAGTCCTTGAAAATCTGTTTCCAGGCACCAGTCTCCCCTTGGATCTAGGAGGTTCTCAGCGTAGGGACACCAGGTCCACAAGCTGCCCGACACGTCAGCTCTTCATTCTTGGTGGAACTCCAGTCTCTGCCCACTTGCTTAATCCCTTTCATATGTCAAAAGAAATGGACTCAAAAGATAATCTAGTTCTGTAGATTATATTTTGCCTCATTTGCATAACTGTTCTAATCCTCCTGCCTCATCAACATGCTAGAGGTGAAGATTTACAACACGTGGGATAATTGCATAATACTGTGACCCATGGCCCAGCCCAGTTGACACATATTAAGTCGGGGAGGCCGGCACAATTCAGTCCATAACACCTCAGAATTGAGGGTGGTCTCTGCATTGGGTGGCCCGTGCAACGGATGATCGAACCCAGCAGAGAAGCAGAGTGCCACAGGAGAGGTGGCTGGGGTCAGAATCGGGAAGCGGTTGGAAGGCGGAAGTGTGTCGGATCTCTGCCTCGAGCTGATGTTGATGGTGATTCTCTCCGCCCCCTGCTGAAGTACCCACTCCCAGCCCCCAGCCCCACTGTCACAGTTCTGGTGTCTGCAGCTGTACTTAGAGGCTGGAGAGCAAACTAAAGGGGAAACGCTGTGTTTCGTTGACAAGGGAGGATTGGTTAGGCTGTGTCAGGACAAGGAGCCCAGCAGTGCCAAGATCAGGTATAGCCTAGAGACCCAGAAGTGGGGGAGGCCGGCACTTCAAAGAGGTGCCACTTCAAACCCACCAGCAGCTCTGGGAGGGAAAGACCTGCCGGAGAACTGCTTCCTTAAAGACTGCAGCCCAGAGAGCTTGCCGGGCAGTTCCGCACTGTCCCCTGCGGTGGCTGTGAGTGCAAACAGACGCACAGCCATGGCCAAGACTGAGGGATGGGCTTCACGGCAAAGGCTCTTCCGAGAAGAAGGCCTGCACTGCGAGGTAATATTGAAAGCAATCCGAAGGGGGAAGGGGGGCGGGGGCGAAGATAAGGTAAGGCCCCTGCAGGAACTGTTTGTAAAACACGCTATTACATTTCTAAATTAGAAACAAAGGTCAGTCTGGAGGTAGACGAAGCCAGGGTCTGAGGGTTCTTGGCAGGTGTGGCCACAGTGAGGCTGGTGCTGTGCCGCACCAGGCGCCCCCGCCTGCTGCTCACCGGTGTCGGCGGAGGAGACAACTTGTTTCCTGAAGCGAAGCTGCTTCCTTGAGTGTCTTGTTTAGGGTTAGTTCTCCTCATTTCCCTTCCCTGGTGATTTGGGCCAAGTGTCGGAAACCACTAAAGGTAAAAGGTTGAAGCAAACCTAAATTTAACCATCTATCACCTTTCTTTAGCATATCAGTGTAATTCCCAGCCGTTCTTTGTGAATTCATTAGAAAAGAGCGAGTCATTAAAAGTTAATAAGCAACTGCTTGTTTCTCTGATGGTGAATAAAGCCACTTTATAAGTCTGACGTTCTCCGCAGCCATAAAAGTCTTGCTTTCTGCCAACTCCCATTGCCTTGTCTCTCTAGGTTACTCCTGGAGGGAGCACCGCTTATAGCGATCCACAAAGCCCGGTATTACAAGAGGAAGGACGGCCTAGCCCTGGGGCCCGGCCCCTTCGTGACTGGCTTAGAGTACGCCACCGACAGCAAAGCCACGGTTGTGGGGAAACCTGAGACCACCTTTTTCCTGGAGGCCCTGCGGGGCACTGGCTGTGAGCCCGAGGAGGCCGTCATGATAGGTGATGTGAGTGGAACTTAGGACCTGCTGCCACCTCTGCTAGAGGGAAGTCACTGTCCCTGGTGGTACCAGGGAGTGGTGAGCCACTACCTAAGAAGGTACCAGCATTGCCCTGACAGCAGACGCTGAGCCCTCTGCTACTCAGGGAGCTACGTTCCATGTCAGACACTCCTCCGTTGTGTGAAGGACTATTGGCCAACTCAGACCGTCTCTACTGCAAGTCATGACATTTCAAGTCTTTTGAAGAGAACTCTTGGACAATTTGTGAAACCTACATTCAAAGAATTCTGACATTCTTGATTTTGTTTTGTTTTCCTTACTGTTTGCTTCATGCAAGAACTTCCCAATCAGCATGCAGCAATTAGCTAATGATATTAATCTCCTGGGCCCTTTAAAGTGGCAGGATTGAGCCCTAGATGCATGTTGGCCATGGCTGGTCGCCTCTGGCAGTCAGCTTACCCCAGTGCACTGCGCAGAGTTTGCACCGCTGTCCCCAGGTGCCGTAGTGGGACGACCACCACCACACAGTCCTTGGGTGGCAGCGCAGTCATCTGACGGGGATGGAGGAAGGCCCAGGGTCCAGCCTAAAGGGCTTACTCTGGAGACTGGAGGCTGAAGGGCAGAGAGGCACATCCCCTCGCTGAGGACGGGCTCCTTTCCCAGAGGCCTCGCTCTCCTAGCTCGTGATGGAGCCGGGCCCTCCTGGCTCGCTCCTGCTTCTAGATTCGTTCATCGAAAAGTCAGTCAGCGAGCCATTGAATGAGATTGCTGTTTTAGAAACCACCGCTTTCAGCCACAGCTTCTCTTCTTGGGAAGGTTTTACCTGAGCAAATGCAAGTTTGAAGAAAGGACTTTCTGAGCCTGGGGACTTGGAAACTCCTCTCCTGGGAGATGCTGGCACTGGGGGAGGGCACAGGATGGCAGAGTCCAGCTACACGCCAGGCTGTTTGTTACGTTCTGGCTCCCGGTCCTGGTGCACCTTTCCCTTCCCCCTTCCCTCTGCCCCTGCTTCTTCAAGGCAAGTTTAGGTGTCACGGGGAGAACTATCCGTTAGAACCTGGATGAGGAGTTTGGCATTCTGAAACTCATGTCCAAGGTGGCTGTTTGAACATCTTGTTTCCAAGACTGGACAGTCCTGCCGATCGTCAGGTTCGATGTTCCTGATGTTCTTCCAGTCCTTGGGTTTTGTTGTTGTTAGCTGCACTCATCGCCACAGTCACTCCTTCCCAAGTAGTAATTGGGAAAGGAGCTCCCTTCAGGCTCCTCTGTCCGTTACTCAAGTGTGATGTAACCCTCAAAGCCACAGGGCCTGTTGAGTAAATAAATAGGCCTGATTCCACCTTTGGGGGAAATGGGATGGAAAGTAAGGATCACTTAGCACAGGAAGAACAGAAAAGAAGAGTGATCCCTGAATTGAGATCACTCACTGGCTGTAATTGGCTCTTTCAGTGTAAAAGCTGCCAAATGGAAAGAATGCTGTTGTCCAGAATCTGGTTCAAGGTGAGGGTCGATTGATGCCCATGTGGCAGAGCATGGAGCGTCGGGGCTCTGCTGCTGGGCTGCTCACCGTCGCCCTGTGGCGATGACGCCCTCAGACCAGCGTGTGAGGGTCACCCACGCGGGGGCTGTTGGCTGTGTCAGGGATTGTTTGAGCAGGCTGACGGGAGACCCAGGTGACACGCCTACTTTCTGCTTCTCTAGGACTGCAGGGATGACGTTGGCGGGGCTCAGAGTGCCGGCATGCTGGGCATCTTGGTGAAAACCGGTATGTGACTTCCGTGCAGAATCCACACTTCCTAAGGGAACAGCCCAGACAGGGCCCACTGGGTGCTTCCATTCTCATTCTCCAAAAGCAAAAGTAAAGCCCAGCGTTTGTGTCTGCGGGCCCACTGGTGCCAGCAGTGCTCAGCCACGGGCCTAAGCTGCGGCTGTGGGTTTCCCAGACTGACCCCCCAGCAAGGTAGAGCGCGCCATCTTTCTCCTCGGAGCACGTACCTTGCCATTAGCAGCCCAGTGCTTACTGTCAGCAGAGTCACCAGGTACCTGCTCGGGTTGTTTCAGGAGGGCCCAGACACTGTCTGATTTACGTCTCTCCATGCTCGCTCTGGCCACTGTGGGATGGTTCCCAGCTGGGGTGGGTGTTAAGATTGTGTCCCAGGGCAGAGGGACAGCAGGCTGTGTTGAATTCCAGGGACCAGGACAGGCAGTGTGCCTGCCGTTGAGTGCCCTGCTGCACAGCCTGGCCTGCAGCCTGGGAACCATCCATCACTCCCACCCAGCTGCCCCAGGCCTCTCATTTCCCAGCTCAGGGTCCCCGCCTGGCAGCAGCACACGCTGTTTGCCGACACCCCCGGGAGCTGCCGGGGCCTCTGCCCTCTGGGGCCTGAGCTGCACTTAAGAGCATTGATTGAATCGCTATCCCTTCCTTGAGACCTAGTGCAGGAAGAGAATTAGTCCATCAACAGTGAGGTTTGATGGCACCTCGGCTGTGAGGTAGTCCAGTCAGGGCTCCCACTGTCCACTGCATCCAGAGCAGAGGACCTGCCCCATGCTGAGTGTGGCAGCTCTCTGCACCCCGGAGGCTCAGGCACCAGGGCCTTGGAGGCCCCGTGGCCTGGTTCTCTAGTAACAGTAGGGCTAGTGGCTTCAGTGCCAGCCTGCCTGCCTTTGTTCAAGGGTGGTCCTTGGTCCTTTCCTTCCAGGGAAGTACCGAGCAGCCGACGAAGACAAAATCAGCCCCCCTCCTTACTTGACCTGCGAGAGCTTCCCTCATGCTGTGGACCACATCCTGCAGCATCTGCTGTGAGCTGCCCGGACCTGGAGCAGAGCCCCTCGACCTGAACACCAGCATCAGGGGACGCCTACCGCACCCCTGCGCGCCCCAAACCCCCCCACCACCACCACAGTGCATGAATGGCACTGAATGGCAGCCAGCCTCTCAGCCTTGCTCAGCCCCTTTGTTTTAGTCTGTAAATGAAGATGGGACCCAAAGAAAGGGAGCTGGCGATTCCGTGCCACTGCTTGTAAAATATTCATCAGTGCAGGCAGGGCGGCTACTGCCAGGACTGCCACTCTGCTGCTACTGGGGAGCAGTGGGGTTCCGATGGTGAATAAAGTTGAATGGTGGTCTGTAAATTCCAAAAGAATGCTGTGAAAGGTACATCCAGCTAAGCTGTAGTCTCAGTACCGTGTTCAAGCAAAATCCGACATTCCTGCCGAGATGGCAGAGTGAATGGGTCTCCAGCCCCTACGCCTGCCCAGACAGACAGCGAATTTGCGTGCGTGGGTGTGGGAAGCTAGATGCGCCACTGCCTGAGTCCCAGCACGGGCAACTTGTTTTTTTCTCTTCATTAGCCAGAGATGACTGGTTTAAAATTAGACCCTGATTTTAATTTAAAATAATATTTCCATTAATAACCTATTCATTGCAGATACCTATTATACTGTGTAACAGTTGTTTGGGAAATTTTATGTAAAATTAAAACTATCAGTATTTTACAGATGTTTTAATTAGACATTGTTATTAACAGGAGCAGAGCAGAAACGAAAACCCAGTCTGTAATGTCATCGCGACCAGGCATTTGTGAAGTTAGTGTCCGCTGGGGTCCAATTAACTGTACATTTGCGAGACTTCCTTGTTTTTGCCTCTGACAGGATGGGGCGCGTCGGTTAGAAGCCGCAGGGACAGATTCCGGCGGTTATGTTCTCGGTTACTACAGCTGGAGAACGAAGCCCCGCTTACAGCATGGACCATTCTTCTCCTGTGAAACCCGCAGGCGAGGGGCCTCGGGAGGGAATGCTGCTGCTCGTGCATTTGCATACCGTGGTAATCCCGGGCCTTCTCAATGGTTTTACAGGGCTCTACGGCATTGAATTATTAGGATGTAATTGTATGGCAGTGTGGCGTTCACCTTATTGAAGCGAGCGCTGGTGTTAATGAACTCTGGGCTTTGATGCTTGTTTAGAGAGCAGCCTGGTCTTGCGTGGGGGGGGCGGTTCCTCCCCTTGTGCTGGGTGGTGCGCCCTGGCCTCCCGTTTCTGCATAGGGACTGGCACCACACTGAGACACTGCCCCCCGTTGGCAGGATGAGGGGAGTGGGTCTGGAATCGCTCGGACACTTGATCATGGGTAAGTCCCCTGCCTGGAGACGTTCACGGGCGCCCCCCACTCAGGGTCACTGTGAGGGTCAAGTGCATTGCATCCTCTGAGTAGACTTGGGCAAGCAGTCAGTGCTGTGTGGTAGTGAGGAGGAGGGTGGTGCATGAGGACCCCCTGCACGTAGCGCTCTACACAGTGGTCCACAGAATTCCTCCGCTGTGGTTTCTGCAGAGGAAGGTCATCCTCCGTGAGGCTAAAAAGAGCTTTCTCCCACATCAGACCTCCTCGGGACAAGGCCACTGGAACAGGTGGGAGGCCGATCCTGTGGCTAGAGGGGCTGCAGGTGTCTGGGAGGTGGGTCCCATTCAACTTCTGCCTGTTACTTGGGTACCTGGGTAAGAGCCCTTCACCTGGACGTCATCAAGACCAGCTGCGTGCCCTCTGTGGGCCATAATCAAGCACATGCTGGCGAGATTCTGCCCGAGCACCTTTTCTCAGTGAGCAGCCAAGGGCATACACAGGATATTGGGCCAGAACAAACGGAAGACCCAGCTCCCAGTCGTGCCCTCTGCGGGTGTGGGTTCCCCTGCTCCTGCCATGTGCCACGCTGAAGCAGATCACAACCCTTCTCTCAGAGAGACGCCCCCGGGGTATGGGTTGCAGCAGAGCACTGGACTGCGTGCCACCAGCGCTCCTCAGCACTTGTCATGGTCTTTTCTTACTGAGGGAGAAAGAGGAGGCTTTCTGCTCCCCTGAAGGGTTGCAGCCTGGAAACCCTGCGTGTTGGCATCGAGGAGGGCAGTGGGTGAGAGCTGCGATCAGACTGGCACTCAGATGCAAATGAGCAGTGTGTAAGATAGGGACTGCAGGCCTGCAGATCCAGGAGAAAGTAAGTTACTGCATTGTAAACTGGTTGGCTCTAAGATGCGCCTAGGGGAGGCCCCCACGGACACAGGGCAATAATGGACCCAAGCTCTGTGGGTGGTTTGGAGCTAGCTCCCAGCCCCGGGCAGCACTGCTAGGGGAGGAAGTCAGGAGAGCGGGGAGTGAGTAGGGTCACGGAGCTACAGTGAATGCCTGCCTCTGTCCAGCACTCACCTTCTGTACACAGTGCAGCTCTGGCTTTGGGGGAGTATCGTCTAAAGCATCATAACAATCCAGAGGGTCCAAACGGTTGTTCAAAGCTCGGTGCAGAGAGCTGCGTGCTTGAGCACAGGCCCGTCGTCACCGTGGACAGTTCGGAGCAAATGCAGCTTCCGGGTGTCTCTGGCGACACCGTTTTGAAAAAAGAAAAAAAAAAAGCCTCATTTGTCCGGTGTTTCAGTAGCAGTGGGGACAGCCCACTGTCTTGGAGTGCACATTTGGGTGAGGAAGACAGGCACATAGAGCCTAAGGAAACGGGCGCTATGGCAGACGGAAGGCTCAGGTTGGGGTCACCAGGGAAACGTCTAGGATGGGGATAGGAAGTAAGTGAGGGAACTGGATGTGGATTGCAAGGGCAAAGGTGCTGACATGCGCACATCTGCATATCAGGAGATTTCAAAGGCAAAGCAGTGACTGGCAGAGCTGGCCGACGCTGTTAGGTGCCGATTTCCTCTTGGGCTGTTCGGTCCCTGCCCTTGCCAGCCACCACGGCTCCCGTCTTCCTCCACCTGCGCACTGGGCTCATGTCTGATGCTGGCCTGGCCCCTGCAGGCAC